TGGATGGGCATCGTTTAGGGTTGATGTGCTTCTCCTCTCAAGACTCAAATCTCCTTGTGATTTGACAGAATCATTTAAAAATAAGGCTAGAACATATTTTATAGGGAATCATGCCAAGATGTTGTCCTTCACTTCCTTTCTGTCTATTTCAGAGTTAGACATCTCCCTTCCCAAGGGCCGGTATCCAGCATGTTTTTGTTGTTTCCCTGCTCCAACACACTTGATTCACCTGCTCAGCAGCTCACCAAGCTCTGCAGAAGCTGGTTAATCAGCCGCTTATTAACATCAGGTGTGTTGAAGAAAGGAAATAACTAAAACAAGCTGGATACCAGACCTTGGGATGGGAGTTGTCTACCCCTGGTCTATCACTTGCCCCGTATAAAGAGTTCACTCGCAAAAACAGATTAAAGTAAGTTTTGATCAAAATCACCAAACAAATAATAAATAGATGAATTAATATAGAAAATGTATGAAAACTGAGTTATCTGCTTTGGCAAATGAATTTGTCATAAATAAACTGTAAAACAATGTTTTTCTTTGCTTTTACTGTAACTGCACCCTTTATTCCAGAACCCTAACGCTAGCCCTAAAAATCAGCAGTTTGCGAAAGTTTAACGCCTCTGATCCACAAATTAACAGCGACATCAGCAAAGAGCAGTTTTGCTGGTTCAATTATGCAGATTTAATTAAAGAATTAAATAAACAAGGGCACAAAAATGACACAGACATCTAATCCAACCCCTGAAACCAGCTGCAGCTTTGTTCCAGTCTCTTTCCATGAACAGTGGGATTAATGGTGACCGAGTGTGATTTAGTTCTCGTCTGACTGCAGCGGCTCAACTTTACGAGGAAGGTTTTGACCAACCCAAGTTGATGGGAAACAGCTGGCTCAGTCTCGAGTATAAAAGCAAACCAATCCACACAAATTTAAACCCAGACAAACACGACTGATTTAAACTTTTATCTGCCAAAGCTACAGCCACACAACACCAACCCTTTCAATAGACTAATGGTCCATGTAAGAGGGAATAAAGAGGCTCTGCGGCCCGGGTGCACACACAGCTGAATGTGCATTCTGAGGCCACAAACTCCCAACACATGATCCCGACAAGGGGCTGAAAACAGAAAACACACCACAATTCAAGTTAAACAGCTGCATGATCCAGATTAACTCCATCATGATGTGAGGGGAGAAACAAATCGGAGCTAAAGAGCCGAGGCTGTCTTGTTCCCTCAGCAGCAAACAAAGCCTGCAGCGCTTTACTTCATGGTGAAAGAAAGCCTAAATTCAGCTCCATAATTATAAAACACTCTGCATGATATAACCGCACAGTCACTTTATCTGCTTTGTAGCCGTTAGCATTACTGGGAAGCTAAGAACTTCTGAGGACAACTTTAGAACAGCAGTTCTGTATGGATTAAAATACCTGAGATCAAAACAGAAACGTAGTCAGATTCAGTCTCCTGTTAGTTTATGGAAATTCACACCACGTGAAAAACCTGCAATCACACATTCAAAGCAACAGTGGACCTTTCCAAACGGCTTTTAACTAATCCACTTGTTAATATGTTTATGATCAAAAAAGTTGCGTTCACGCATGTTCACGGCATCGCATCAGAAGTCAGACAACTAGAAACCACAACCCTTTTGTAGCATTAGCATTTAACCTAAAACCCAAACGTTGAGCTTTTGATTGTTTAGTTTTATTGAAACCACCTCCTTTAGCAAGACTCGGTGACATCAACCCTAACTGTTGTAAAGAGTGAAGAAGAAGAAGAAGAAGAAGAAGAAGAAGAAGAAGAAGAAGAAGAAGAAGAAGAAGAAGAAGATATCATTTCTTTAGCGCCTCTCAAGATAGAAATCACGAGGTGCTTAGTGTCTATTCAACAGAACTTAATGAGTTATTAAAATAATATAACTGATGATATAGGAGTGGATTTATGTGTCGCTTTTCTCAGCACTTAAAGCACTCTCACATTCACACACTGCTGGTGATGGTAAGCTACTATGTAGCCACAGCCGCCCTGGGGCAGTCTGACAGAGGCGAGGCTGCCATCGGCCCCTCTGACCACCACCAACACAGGCTAGTTGGGTGAAGTGCCTTGCTCAAGGACACAACAGCAGAGTAACCCTGGCGGGAGCTAGCCTCAGGCCGGCATTCCTCCAATCACGAACACTCTCTACCTCCTGAGCTACTGCCCCAGTTACCTTAAAGATCCACTTCAACCACTTTCAACCCCTCTCGCAGTAACCATTCTCTAGATCTAGGCTAGCACCCGGCTGGTTTTCAACTTTTTTATGTAATTAATTTGAACAGGAACCAAATCCAGCCAAAATGTATACGCTGATGAAACAATAGTCTATACAACAGCATCTTCTCAGGAGTAGAGCTTCTGCAGAAAGCCTTCCATCGTTCTCTGTTGGAATAGAAAATCTCTAAACAAGAGCACGAAATGTAAAACTGTGACTTTTATTCACCCTGACTTCAAACAGCTGGTCCGTCTTTCCTCACTGTAGAAGGTGCATGTGGAGATAGTAAATTACTTTGAATACCTGGGGAACTGAGAGTGAAAAGTAGGGTTTGGTGCAAATGTTAACAGTTTGTTTAAAAAAACACACGATTCAGACTAAACTGAACTCTTACTGGATCTGAAAAGAGAGTTTTGCCTCTACAATCAGGAAAAAGCACAATATCCAAACGTCCATCCTCTACGTGTAACTGTGGTGACATAAGCTATGTGCACAGTCCCTGTTTTATGTAAGGGCTACTGTGTGTGTCATGAATCTTTGTTTTTTTTTACAGATACACGCTCACGGATTCATGACTGCAGCCTGTATGAGATCCCTTAAAACAAATAAAACTGTAGGTTGCCGCTTGTTGCAAAGTAAACTATGAGCCGACGTTCCAAACCGCTCTTCATGCTGCGGCGCTGCTTTGAATATTGCTGTTAGCTTAACTCCCATCATGCATGAACCATTACATTTGGTACATTAGTGTTCTTCCTGTAAACACTCTTCCAGCCATTTGTTTATTTATTGTTTGTCTGTGAAACTTCGCCATGTTGACACGTCGGGTCATTACATTATTTATCAGTTTTTTATTTTAATATAATGACCAGATAAAGTAAGTGTATTTAATGACCAACTCATTTAAAGTAGCTTTCCAGAGTTTTCTCCTTTCAGAAATGATGTATAATTTTTCAGAAATCCGTAAAAGTGATTTTCTCATCACGTACTGTGATATCATGTAAACAATGCGTCTTTTTTTAAATTATTTTTTTTGTTAACCACGCCCCCTGCCCCGCAGAGCTCCATGCAATAGGGAACTGAGCGCCGACCAGAACTAACCACTAGCGTTAGACTACCGCTTACATGCTTCAAATTTAAGGAACACCTCGGCTGATGCAGAGTTGATGACAGGGGCGTGTCCAGGGAGTGGCCTGGGGTAGCACATGCCACCCTTGGAATCTGATTGGCCACCCCAGGTGCCACCACACCAATTTACCTTCAAATAGGCTTTTCATTGTCCACAAAAGGCTTGGGGGTAAAACAAAAAAAGCACAACCATTGGTGCCACCCATGCACAAAGTTGTGCCTCACCTGGGCCACCCCATTTTAAAAAATCTGGACACGCCACTGCTATGAACTGTTCACAGAAAAATAAATCTGTAAAATATAAATATGTGAGAGCACAGCATGACATGAGATTAACACTTGTAAAACAGCATGCTTTAGCTCTGTTTGTCAACTACAGAAGTACATTTATGAACAAGAAATGTGAAGTCGCCATCTTAATGAAACGTATTGATTGAATGGAACGCCTTGTTCAGACGCATCATATTTGTTTAAAGAGCTGTTAGAAACTGTTTATCTGAAAAATATAACTGTTCACTTGAGCTTTAATGTAACTAAATACGTTATCAAATGCTTTCTTTTCAACTTTTGCACACATCTGTTATTTTTATTTTGGAGGTCAGAGTTGGCTGTTCTAGAAAATGTCCTCACCGTTCACACGAACCATGTGTGAAACAGTTTCCCAAGCAGCCTTTACAACCACGTGCATGTTTCCATAACGATGTTCGTAGGAACGCTGGTGACATCTCAGGGACAGAACTGGTCGTAAGACTTCAGTAATCTCCTGTGTGACCCAAACGAAACCAGATGTTTACTTGTAAATTCGCTCAGATCCCCTATCTTCCAGTATGTCATGATTCAGCGACTCACCTCTCTCCATGAGTTATAGAGTAAAGCACTCTTTAATCTTAATTTCACAAGCCTTTTGACTAAACCTGAGTCCTGATCCCTTTCTGTTTAAGTCTCACGCAGGCACACAGTTTTATTTCACAGAAAAAACAGTTTCAGGCAAAGAGGCTTAAAACAACAACCTCTTCGGACTGACGGCTTCAACAGTCTGCAGGGACAAACTGTCGGCTCCTTCCTTTGTTTATTTACGCCTTACGTATGCGTCCCTCAGAAGTGGGCGGAGCAAAAGATTATTTTGTCTAGGACACAAACACCGAAGCACACCACAAAGTCGAGGATTTATGACTGGTATTTTACCAGCTGAAACAAACCGACTCAGGACGTTACGTCACCCAGCACTGCTGGTTTCAGGGGAAAATTGTGTGAATAGGTCTATCATGTCTGTGGGAAAAAAGATGAAAGAAAAACTGATGGATCAGTTGTGAGTAAATGTGTTTGGACCTTTTGAGTAGTGAAGGAAATCTGGATTGTATTTGAAGTATGACACTTTATTTCAGTTTGCTGGGAGGAAAAGCTGTCTAGTCCTGCTCATGAAACTCGAAAAGGTCCGAGTCTGCAGGTGTTATGAGTTTTCCAATAGTTTCCTGTTTGTGCTTTCCAGAGATGCATAAAGGTAAAGTGGGACTGCTGCCGCCTCTTGCAAGCAATATGCTTTTAAAAGACGTTTACACGGTCAGCAGTTTAAAGCAGGAAGCATGAACAGGGAGCGAAGGAGACGCTGTAGTCTCAAACTCACCGGTACACGAGAGGTGGGCTTCCCTGGGCTTCACAGCTGAACACCACCTCCCTGTTGTTCTCCACCGTCTGCACAGGATACACGATGCTGCCTGGCTGCTTGGTGAAGACGGGGCTCTGCAGGGCGCTGCTCTCTGTGGGATAACAAGGAAACACAACACGGCTCACTATGAGCTCCTGCAGCAGTCTGTTTGCAAAACAGCCAATTAGTCAGCGGCAGAAACCAGTTGATGCTGCTTAAAGCCCCACCAGAGGGCAAAACCACAGGCAGACTAAACATATCAATTGAAAGTCCCTGCCACGGCTCGGTGGCACGGAGAAGAGGGATGTGAAGTGAGACGTGTCCTCAGCACCTATTTAGGTGGTAATAGGATATAGAGACTAATTTAGCCTGGAAAGATGCAGCCATTGTTCTTCATTAACTTGTTTTTATTTGCACGTTATTTTTATTTATTTGACTAGATGTTGGGATAATGTGGCCATGCAAAGGTGCAAAGGCGTGCTTTTATGTCGTTAGAGTTCTGTGTGGGATTTGTTTGCACAATACAGCAGCACCAAATCGATCAGGGCAACTTTAGTTTGTTGAACAAACTTTGAAACTAAAGCAGAGAAACACGTAAAACGTGCAGGAACGGGTCTCTCCAGCACAAGGACTGGACACCACTGCTGCGGTAGATCTCCAGAAGTGCCAGGATGCTACAGATGTTTCACTCATCTACTCACATTTTGTGTACTGACTGCAGCGACTTTGAAAGTTCACACAAATGTCCCACAGCAGTCTCAACAATTTAAGCTACTGAGCTCCAAGGCAATAGAAACATTCCATATTCCCAGGCTAGGATAAGCTAACACTGTGTACTGTGTTGTTTTTGTGCTGTCCTTAAACACAGTAGATGCTACCACTGCAAACGAAGCCAGATGTCATTAAATAGAAATAAAAAGCACAAACAGCATGCTCTGGGCTTATTCTGTCTATCTGTGTCCAGAGGCCAGTGAAGCCCAGAACATCCTCCACCAAACCACTACACCAGCTCCTCTGGTGGGACCTAAAGGCATGCATGGGCCAGCTCTCCAGTGAGTCCTGGATCTCTTCCCGTAAGGATGTGTTCAACACACCAGCTGCATAGAAGGCATCCTGCACCACCTCAGACCAACATGAAGGAGCAGCGGTTCTGCTCAGATTGTCCCGAGGTTCCAGGAGATGCTCATTTTTGCCACCTTGTTGGCTCAAACTAATGTCTGGTTGCAACACATTCTCACTCCCAACGTCAAAAAACAAACGCTGGCTGAGCCACCCTCCGCGTCACACCCCAGACACCAAAGTGAGAATGTGTTGCAAATAATCTAGGAAGGGTTAACCCGTTAACACCGGTTGTTGCAAATTAGCATCAAACCTGGGTTTGCTCCAAATGTAACCAAAATACTGCAAGTACCTGAAAGAAAATCCACTATGGAAAGAAATATTACAATTGAAAACAAATTCAGGCCTTAAGGGGTTAAAATGCTTGCTTCTTGGCTCTTACAAGTGTAAACTGGAACTTTTTCACATCAAGAGTCAGCAGTGTTTTCTTTATGTCTTCATTCCAGTAATTCAGGAAAAGGTCTGTATGTTGTTCATATGGAAGGTGTACCAACATTTTAGTCTAACCTACCGGGGAAAAGACTAACATTAAGAATCACTTGGTGCTGCCAAGTATTTCCATTGGGAGGCAGCTGGAGCATGTTAAAAAGGGTAGCTAAATGTCACTAGATGATGTCATACAAGAATTATCATATTCATTATGCCTTGTTTCAAATGTTGTTTCATGCTAACCTTTCACATCAGTTTCAGTCTATCACATTTCTGTGATCACACTCAACGCACATGGATGCAAACAAACCAAATCAAATGTCTAATACAGGTAACTAGAATATCAAGACAAAGGTGAAAACTTGGAAAACTTAAAAACTTTTAATATAAAAGTGAAATTTGTACATTAGATTCATTCATTACACACAGACTAATATATTTCAAATGTTTATTTCTTTAATTTTGATTATTCTAAATGACAACTAGACTGGCTCTCTGTCCAGGGTGTACCCCGCCTGATTGCCCATTGACTGCTGGAGATAGGAAGCAGCCCCCCCCCCCCCCCCCCCCCCGCGCGTGCGACCCTACATGGACATGCGGGTTCAGACAGTGGATGGATGGATGGATGGATGGACGGACGGATGGATGGATAAATGACAACTAACAAAAATCCTAAATTCAGCATCTCTGAGCTTCTCCAACAACCTCTCCAGATCACTAAAAGGTTAACCAACCTGACATAAAACAGCTGTAGGCTTCTGAGCTTGTTAAAGGCTTTCATCTGGCTCACAGTGTGATATGAGGGAGGCAGCACAAAATAGTTTGTTATGCCGATCGATTTGGCGCAGGGCAAATCCTCCACAGTGTATGAAAAGTCCAACTTTTAAAACTACGTGGGTCATAACCTAAAGGAAGATGTTTTTTTTTTTTTTTTGCGATTTTGCATCTGTACCTTCGTAAGATCGCTTCCTGCCCCTCATTTGAGTTTTGCATAACAGCAGAGAAGCCCGGCAATAATAAACCCACTGTAGGATTAGCTCGTTCACTCGCTGCTCACACATGAACCCCAGACCCGGCACCAGGGTGGTGCCCCAGTAACCTTCTAGGAAAAATGTATGTTTATTAATTCTTGATCATGGACTAAACCACATATGTCAGACACAAGGCCTGCGGGCCAGATGCGGCCCGCAGAGCATTTTTTTGTGGCCCGCGAGATAAATATCAAAAATATATTAAAACTGGCCCGCTGGCCGATTTTACCGCAAAGACTTCAACTCCCATGATGCTTTGCGACGTCAGCACGGAGCCGAAGCACCCCCTCCTTTGTGTTTTTTCCAGCGCCTGCTGCCGGTGTCTGCAACTCCGCTGTCTCGGACAAACTAAACACTCCTCTCACTCGGCGCCGAGTTCACTCAGCTGTTTTCTGACGTTGAAGCCCAGAAACGAAGATTTGAACCGCTCAGTAATGTGTTCACGACTGAAAGAGAAAGTTTTCCAACGAACTTCCAGACAGAGCTGATATAACTCCAGCGAGCAGCGACACGCTCAAACCAGCACGACTCTGTGGTTGTGTTTCCTCCCCGACACACAACAACGTGGTCAAGCTGCTCAGACATGTTCAGCAGCACAAACCTATGTGAGCACCTGTTGTCATCTAATGTTGTCATTATTATGATGATGAAGATGAACAAAACAACAGGAGTCTCCTCCTCAGCTCAGATCAACCCCATGATGCAGGTATCTGGCTGGAACAGGTGAGCATCACAGTAAACCAGTGGAGCAAACTGAGCTTTAAATATTTTGGTTTTATGCTCGTTTTCTGCTCCAAAACATGAAAGTTAACAGGTGAGATATTGCATTTTCATTTAAGATAAAATGATATTTTTATTTTGTTGTTGGCCCGTGAGAAAAGATTTAACCTACAGTAAACAGGAAGTGGAAAGGCTGCAGATAGATGAATAGATTAGAAAATCCCTTTATTGTTCCTCAGTGGGGAGAGCTAGACGTCACAGCAGCGATGACACGTATTACAGGAGAAAAAAAGGAGAATAAAAATAAGAAAAATCAATAAACAAGAAAACATAAATCCTGAATAGATTTAAAAATGCTGATTATACCACAAGTAATGAATACCACTGATGTGTTTTATTTAAAACTGACTTGCTCGTGTGTAATTTGGTTATTCCACATTCAGTGTTAATGCAGAAATAAGTTAGTTTCCAAATTAAAAGGTTCAAAATTGCATATATGTTGATAAAGAAAATGTGCAAATTTGCCGTCACTTTTTCAAAAATATTAAGTTTGGCCCTCGACTCCGTCCCAGAGTTTCATTTTGGCCCCTTGTGAGTTTGAGTTTGACACCCCTGGACTAAATCAACTGAATGTAAATGTATTGCGCTATGCCTCTCTGCATGCTCACTTACTCAGACACACACACACACACATACACACACATTCTTGTCTCACTCATACACACACTGACTTGCGCTCTCACACAATGACCTCACTCCCATTCTCATCTTTCTGTTTAAATAAAGTCTGTGACCGGATGTTCGGGGCATTTGCCTCAGGCATCTTGCCACAGTTATAACTGTTTGACTTGTTGTTTATTGTCTCCTTCTCTCTTCACTACAGGAAATGGGTTATTGATAAACATATTGATCAAATCCATGACAGGTTTTCTGAGCTATTCTTTTTCTCACCCTTATTCCTCAGATATTACAGCTCCCATTGTGATTAGGACACTCCACCTCCTCCACCACACTAAGGTGAAGGTTCAAGGAGAAGCCAGCGGAGATGGTTTGAGCATGACCCTCTAGGAGGAGACCCCAGAGCCATTATTACTCATCTTTATGGGATTATATCTCTGTGATGGTCTGGAAATGCTTTGGGATCTCATCAGCTGCTGCCCCCATGATCCGGACCTGGATCAGTGCAAGAAGACGCTTACTGTGTGCAGTTTGTGTGTTCCTACTTATCAGTTGCATTGTTACAATTATAAAAAGTACCATGCAAGCTCTACTCGAGTTTATTTTTACAAGAACTCGCATCCTGTTTGGTAAAATCCGCACGCCACTCCGATGAAACAGGGAGAGCACTCTGTGAGTAATATATGATGAAAGCAAATTTAAAATCAGCTCAGCAGTCGCTCCTTTTCTCATCACACCGTCACACGCCTGTGCTCCACCATATCTCAGCTGAAAGTAATTCAAGGTTACTTTACCCACCTTACAGAGGAAAAAACCCAAGTTACACATGACAGAAAATTTGAATATTACAAATGAAGTTGTCAAGAATCATAACTGCCAGAGAGAGTTTCCTGTAGCCCATTAAAGGGATTCTGGCAGGTGTGGAGGAGCAGCATGGTTTGGATTACTAAAATGACAGCCTGAGACTCACAACGGCCAGCTAACATAAGACCGTGCATTCTGCAGACAAATCAGAATATTGTCTTCTTCTAAAATGATGTGGGACAAAGATTAAGTCTCAAACAGCAGAAGATGAGAAGTGACTGCTGTTCTAATTCTGTACTGGATAATGGCTCTGGAGTATTCACACACGGCT